AACATGCAAAAAGTAGACAAATTCACTTAGCTCTCAATTTTCCTGGCTTTCTAACTATGCAATAAGAGCCATTACAAATTCATCAAAGCTAGTCATTAACTTGTACTGTGAGTGAAACTGACGATATTCTGTTCAGAATACAATGTTATACAATGTCATTTGATAGACGAAAACCGTGACTTTCTAATGGTTATAGGTAATATATAATGAAATGTAAGAGAGTACTATCAATGAATTGTGAAAGAGATGACATGACAGGTAGGTGTGGCAGGAGGAGTCTGACTTTGTATTTGATAGCTCTGTGACCAAACACAATTGAAGGCTATAAAAATTATGGTTTGTTTGAGCAATAACTATTTTATAAAGAGTATTTCACGTTTAATTTCGTACATTTTCGAGGGGTGATTGATAAAATAGAGATGATGACATGCCAACACAAAATAAGTCACATGGTCATGCTAGTGGAAATTCAGGATTTTTTTATATATTTCCTTGTAGAATTAAGAACTTAAAACTTGCATACTATTAAAATATGGATTATTAGTTAAGATTTTATTATATTCTAATTGGTAGTTTAATAAAATTTTGAATGTAAGACACTAAAATATTGTGTCATGCGCAGTAAAGGGTAACCGGGGCAATGGGGTGAAGCAATTTTACGATCAATATATGCCAATGAAATTAGCATTATCATTAATATTTACATTATAGTTCATAGTTTTATATTATTTAAGTTTTAGTTCCTTTTTTTGAAAAGAAACCTTAAAGAAAAGTTTTTAAACTTCAGTTTAATGCCAAAGTTCACAAAATCTTAACTTCTGGACTTTATAACTTGAATATTTCTTGACCTTCCATGTATAGATAGAATCTAGGTTAAATGCTATGTTTACACATTCTTCTTTCAAGCTCCTTGGGGCATGTTCGGAAAAAATAAATTTGTTGGAACTCTTGACAGATGCTATGCCCACTTTCTACACAGAGTTGAGATTTCTTAGCCAATTATACTTAGTTGAGCTAGATGTTTATAACCAATAGAAAGACCATATTTTAAAATACAATCTTCCAATTGTAATTTTGAAATTGGTGCAAAGAATTTCATAGAGTACTTGTCAAACTGCTCTTAGCATTGTTGCTGCTTTTGTCCTTTCTAGCACTTTAGCATTGTTTCTCACATATGAATATGTTAGTAAGATAAACAGTTAAATTGTATATAGGTTTTAGTTTTGTATTTTAGTTAATTATGTGTTACTTATGTCTTCAGATGCATATTAGAAAGGTTTAATAATTTTTTTAAATATAAGCCAAACTTCCTCGGTTCATCAGCCTTAGTATAGTAGGCGAAGGCTAAAGTGTCTGCCCATGATACTCTAATATCACTCGACTGCTCATTGAAATGTGTTGCGATAAGTAATGATGCTAAAGGACAGGAAAGGAAAATAAGATATCAAAAATAAACTACATGTGAAAAAGTAAAAGCTTACAATTAAGAATATAACTGAAATATTTTTTAAACATTTCATTGCACAATACATTGATGATAATACTCAAAATATTCAGAGTCTGAGTGCAAATAACTACAATACAAAAATAGCAAATCTCTTAATTAAAATATTTAATTAAAATAATCTCATTTTTTGTGTACAAAATACTTGTAGTATTTAACAAAATTTTACCAATTGTTGTGAAGATACATTAAGAAAGCTCAGAGTTTATATTACTTTATTAAAAGCTGAAAACTTGGGAAAGGTTAAATGAAAGCTACATTTGTGAGTAAAGTTTAAAAAATTATTCTGGAGGGCTTGTGTTGGATAACTTTACTTACCTTTCCTTCAACAGCCTGCCTTTAAGAAGATGCTAGAGGAGATCTGTTCCAACTGGGCTGAAGAGGTTGGTACTCAGTGCACACGTTTCGTGGATAACTACCTTGATATTATTCTTGATCTCTTGATGAGGGAAGTCAAACCTTCAGAAATCTGTAGGTTGATAAAAGTTTGTCCAAATAACATGAAAATGCCAGAAGCCAGAGGTGAGAACATTAACTGCTACTTAAGTGCATATAAATCTTTCTGAATACTTCGTATGTTTTTCTGTCTATCCAAAGATGTGCTTGGTGGAATTATCTGTTTTTGCCTTTAAGATTTTTATGTAACAAATGCTATATACATCACAGCAAGAGCATTGTATAAATTCTAAAGATGTTTTCATTATTTATGTATTAACAGAAAGTAGCAAAGCAAACAAAAATGTGACATTTGTTCAAGTATATGTTTGAAAGTGAAGCAGGATGATACAGTAGTATTGGTAATAATGGAATTTTATTAATGATATATGAAAAGACTTGAAGAGCAAAGGAAATCTGGAAATATTATATAGCATACCTTCTATCTCAACTTATTACAATATTCAAGCTCATTTTGTCTGTGCTATGTAATTCTTTTATTTTGTTTTTAAATTTTTGATTTCAGAATTTTTTTTCTAAGACACATTTTAGTTTTAAAAGAAAGTACCTGATAGGTACATTTATGTTAGAGCTATATCTTCTACCATCAAACCTGAATAGCTATGTTGCTAGAAACATATTCATATAATTCAGTATTATTTCAGCAAAACCAGTTTGGTAGTTGAAATAATTTTGGAAAAACAGTATGTACTAATAGGTGTGTATGTAAAGTAAAAAAAAAAAAGACATTTTCACAACTGTTGAAACACATGTAGATGTTTTCTACTTGACTTGTTATATTTGGTCATGCATTGATAGTATGATGTCTAAAGGTTGTAAGATAAGATTGATAAAATTTCTAAACAGAAAACTGTACAAAAAGACCAACATTTGACAGTGTTTGTCTAAAGGTTGTAAGGAAAGATTGATAAAATTTCTAACCAGAAAACTGTACAAAAAGACCAACATTTGAGAGTGTTTGTCTAAAGGTTGTAAGGAAAGATTGATCAAATTTCTAACCAGAAAACTGTACAAAAAGACTAACATTTGAGAATGTTTTTTTTTTTAAGTGAAAGTTGTTAGTCATCCTCATGATTCTCGATGCAAGCTCTGTAACCAGGCAGTGACGTATTTGAAGAAGGAGATGGAACACAACAAACCAGAGGTACAAACCTAAATTTTGATAATTCTTTTAATAAATGACTTTTTTTTTAATCCGATACATCATTTTATTATCAAATAAATATTAAGATAAATAAATGAACCGGTAAAGCTGATGTATTTGCATTATTAGATACTACTGAATGAACATGCTACTATTTTGAATCATAAGCTTCTTGATAATGATTTTTTACTAAAATGTTAGTGATGTTAGCTTGTAAGATAATTATTGTAAATAATTGTATTTGCCTTTCAAGACATGCTATGTAGTACTGAGTTGTTGATGGCACTTTAACTTCCCTAATTATTGTAGTGAACTTTGAAGTTATAGATGTAATGAGTTTTATTTCCTGAGTAGGAGGCAATCAAAGCAGTTTTGGAAAACTTCTGCCATACACTGCCACAGTCTAATTTCAAGGAGTGTGAAGCATTTGTTAATAAGTACACAGAAATGATGGTAGATTTATTGATTCAAGAAATAGATCCAGAGAAAGTGTGTGAGGTACTGAAGCAATGTCCAGGTAAAGCATGACCATTACACACACACGTATGTATATGTAGATATATAAAAACATTGAGTAAATGTTACTTTAGACAAGAAATACTACTTTAAAATTTCAAATGTTATGAGGAAAAGTAACAACTATCATTTTCATCAATACTGTGTGATACTTTTATTGTAAATGATACTCTAAATGGTTAATAAAAAGTAGTACTGAATTGCTTAGATTATGTAATTGTTAATGATTTCATTGAGTATGTGTGACAGTGTTTTAAGCCATTCCAAAATAATAAAAGCTGAAATATATTAACTTAAATATATATATATGTACTTATTTTTTATTTCACTGCCAGATTTATTGCTTTTTGTGTAAAGAAAACTAAAAAAGGCCAATGTTTTTTTTATAGTGATACAAAATCCTTCAATTGCATGGCGGTGATCTTGTGGAGAACACATACATGGCCATGGTAGTGAGAGTTAAAACATTTATGTATCAACATACACGAGTGTTCCTGTACTTCACATTTACCCACTGTTTTAATAGAGCCTTAATCTTATGCCATTCCCAAGAAACAGACAAATATTCATTTATACTTAAGGAAAAACAAAGTTTAAAAACTCTGTAATTGAATATGTTAAACATGGAGAACCCCTTTTGTAGTATTTGAGGTCTTTTAACAAAGTAATTGGCTGTGTATGTTGCTAAATATAATTTCAACATTCTTGTACAAGTAAGCAATTGAATGACTTGACAGGTAGTTTTAAAAACAACAATTTCTTTTTGCACAGAGCAAGAAAGAAATGATATCTTAATTTCACAAGTTTCTGACAGCCTTCAGTGTACATTGTGTAAGCAAGTAATGACATATCTTGAAAAAGAACTTGAAGACAAACCAACAGAGGTATTTTTAACATCATTTTTTTAACCTAAACTAAAATTCAAGGTTTGATATAAAGTTTTTGCTGTTGATTATAGAATAACCTCTTTACAATCTATGTAGTAAAGAAACTAGAATTTTAACAGTGAGTTATTTTTGTATATAGAAAAACTTCTGTTTCAAGCATGAAAGTTTTGCTATTTAAGAAAAAAAAAATGCTTAAGATGTGATGAAGCTAATTTAAAATAAAGTTTCAGAAAAACATTGTGGTGTTATATTTCATTCTGTTATACTTTAAGTGATTTTTTTTAATTATACACAAATACACATACATTTATGTAAAAGAATACCAGTTTTTCAGGGAAGATGTATATTTTAGCAAAATTGTCAGTTTGTATAGGATTAATATGAACGTTAAATTTGTTTGTTATTTTTGTAGGTTTCACTATTTTAATTTGCAATTATTGTCCATGGGTTTGGCATACATTTCAATTGTATTTATGATTTTTTTTATCAGTTTGCAGTTTGTCCTTTAAATTACATATATTTTAGTGTACAGGTGAAAGAATATGGATTTTATTACAGAATATAACCAAACATATGTGAAAGTTATTTAACTGTTTTTCAAATTTGCTGTAGTGTTCTT